AGATGAAATAATGCATGAATTATATTTCATAATATACGTGAAACAAAGATAAACGTGTTAGGAATAAATTTCAATTTTAATATCAGATTATGTAAGTACATAAAGTTTAGAAGCTATGCTTTAAAAAGCAATTGCATATAAAACTTAACTAAGTAAGTTTATTAATTCAGGTAAAAACAAGCAACAATAGATAAATATTAAGGTAATTCAAAGTTAACATAACAAAATCTAAGTCAGTAAATTAGAGCAAAATAATAAGTTATGAGGCGAATGAAATATTTTCAATAGATAATAATATAATTGTACATTACCAGGACTTGGTGAGTGTGGTCTCAGCTCCTGTTGGCTAGCCTGGCGCGATGGTGGCCGCATGCTTACGCGGGAACCACGACGATCCTTTAAACCAAGATTATTTTTCATGTAGGGTTGGGGCGATAAAATAAAGTCTTCCTATTTAATCACTTTATTTCTCACCCTTTACTCTAGTTTTACAAGATATATATTTTTTTACTTAATTTATTCGTTTTAGAAAACGTACGGCTATCTCTTCGCGTCTATTTCGTATATTTCTGCACTATATTATCAATCACTCACTCATCTTCGTTCGGAAACACGCATTTACACATCCCACATGCATAATTAAAATTCTAATCAAGTTAAAATAGTTTTAAACACATAGGCTCACATTTAGAGGCACAGACATAGGACTTAATGCGAAAGTTTAGAGAGATAGATAGATGGTTGTTAGAGTTTCTAGTCTATCTAAACTGCTGAAATAGCACATAGGCTACTTGCTTTTTTTTTTTTTTGGAATTCCATCCAAATCCATCCAAACTTTCACATACATATATCTACTATTAGTAAGATACGTTACCTGCGCATGAAGAAGTTTCGAGTCGCGCAACAAAGATACATTCATCAGCCGTGGGTTTGGCGTGTTGAAGATCGTCCGGTTCTCCCTCCAACGAGCCCTGAAAGTAAATATAACCTTAATCATATAATTACTGCAATAAAATATATGATGGTTTCGAAGTAACTTCGCTGTAACTGTTTTAAGCGATAGGTCTTTTGTTCTCATGCATTGTTGGTATAAATGTCATCGAAAGTATATAATAAAAAAAATGTTATAACATAAAACCTACCTGCTAAACAACCGAAGCACAACGCAGATGATGACAAACATGAGAGCCATGCCAACAAGAACGCCAATCATTGCCGGGTCGAGAGTCTGCGTGGATTCCTCTACTTGCTTCTGGGCTAAAGAGAAAATGTTAAAGAAAAAACTCTTCAGTATTTATGGTATTTTTGACAAGTGCGATCATCGGTTTTATAAAGAAGGTACTCAATAAATAACTGTTAAAAAGCTTAACTTGATCGATTTCACATCAATTAATAAAATACTATGCAATTTTTTCAAATGATTTCGTATTATAACTTTCAAAAATACGATAAAATAATATTTAGCCACACTTCTAATATTAAAAACAGCGCCATCTAGTTTAGTAAAACTACTAAAATTGAAAACAGCGCCATCTAGTTTAGTGTATAGGTAATACGTTATTTGCAGTTTTAAAATACTAGATGGCGTTGTTTTTTGCTAGTACAGTTACATATTTATTTAATTTCACTTACATTTACAAATGATAGCGCCACCAACGGTAACCTCCGGTACCATCTCATACATGCAGACGCAGCGCTCGTTGCGGCAAGTTGTCTTGATTACAGCCGCCTCGCATTGCTGGTTGAATGTGCACGACTCGTTGATGCCGGCGGCTGAAATATTTATACAAAATGTTTACTTTTCTGTCCGTCGTACATATAAGGACGCGGTAGAACATAGTCCCATGAGAACTGTGCTCAAACCGGTTGAAAGTTGAAATATTTTTATTCAAGCGTTAAAGACTATGTATGTTAACATTATTCTTTGTATGTTTTTAAATTTCCTTGTTCAATAAAATAACATCTAAGAATGGGTTTATTCTCTTACAAGTCTAATTACAAAAAATACATACGAAGAATTAAAAATAATTACAGACAACACCTCACTAGCACAGAATATAAAAACAGAATCCCGTTACGTTTCTTCTTCTTCTTAAGATGCCTTTCCAACTAGCGAAGGTGGGCGATCAGTTCTCCAAATTTGACTTTATCTCTTGCGAGGCGTTCCCCGTTACGTTAAAACAATTTTTTTTAAACATCCAATGAAATGTAATAGAATTTTCTTGCAGAAATACGAAATAATAAAATCCAACTCATTCATATTTAATAAAGTTTTCTAACATTCCAAGTTACGTTTTGCGAGCGTCGACCCTTTCGTAAATATAAAATGAGGTACTTCGGTTTCGTACGTATTCTCAAACAAAAGACATGAAATACGAGATCTTTGTTTAATGTATCTTTCTCTCTGAGTAAAAACAATAAGTGATTCTGTTGTAAGTATGATATTATAGACATTATGAAAAATGTGAACTGAAATCTAAATATGTTTTTTAGAAATATAACAAACAGTTTTTTTATACTTTGTTATTTTGTAACACTAATAGATGATATGAGTATGTTAGAAGAAGTTTGCGAGTAGCCCCCGTGGTATAGAAATAAAGGAATAAAAGAATAGCACGGTATGGTCATGTTATGAGAAGGGATAAATCGTATGTAAGAAGAAGGACGTTAGTTATGAATGTGGAGGTTTTACAGTGGTAGAGCCCGCTTTAACATCTTCGCACGAATTGGCCGGCTCGCCCGATGAAATACCATGACCACACAGAAAACAGGTGTGAAGTAGAGGCAATTTCGCGTTTCGTCTGATGACTGTGGTGCCGGAGGCCCAATTTTAGTCCCTTTCCCGTCCCACCTTTTTCTTATAAGAGAAGGATTGGAAGGGAAAGTGGATTTGACGGTGGAGGAGACGCATAGGAAGAGGAAATTTCCTCTTTATGTGCGTCTCCTCCTCCGTCGTTTAAGGGAAGGTAACGCATCTGCAATTGCGGATGGCAGCGGTCGCTTCACCATTTTGGCGGATTTATGTGACCGCTTGCTCGTCTACCACCTTTTTGTATAAAAAAGGTGCACCGGTACAGGTAGAATGATTCATGAAGAAGTAAGTGATGACAGAGTTATTTGGAGGACAAAAACCTGGTGCGCCGACCTTACAGGAGTAGCTTAGTTAAGATGATGATGACTTTGTTATTTTATACTCTGTATTTTTGACTTCGTTTTATACTATGCAGTAATACCTTGACATGGTAAACGTCTTAAATCATAAGGAAATCGTTTGGTCTAGTTAAGTGAAACGACTGTAATTGAGGATGTTCACACTTTGAATGAATTAAACGGTTACTAACAATAAAAAGAGATGCAGAGTCGAAATAATGTAATTGTAGGACGAAATATCTTTTAGAGCATAGTTCTCAAAGTGGACGATAACGCCCCCTTGGCGTTTGAAACCTAGACAGGGGCGTTATAGGGCCACAGAATAAATTGGGCAATGCATAATTTGTAATCGAATTTATTTTATATAGTATTTTTAAATTCACTTAAATTATATAAAATGGGGGAGCTGAAAGATTATTTTGGACTGTTTTAGAGTATGGTTCTATTTTCTACATACAAATGAAAAATATTTGGAAAAAAACATCCAAGTACAGCATTTCTTGTTGCTATATAAGTCAAGGACGATGCATACTTCATTTTTAATTAGTTGTTTAGTTTAAAATAGGTCATTATTTTAATATGTTGAAAAAACAAAGGCAGGCCTTGGATAATTATTCGCGCATAATAATTATGACAGAACAAAACGTTCATTACGTGATGACGTCACGCGAGTTGCAAGCATCGATCGTACTCGGGTTTTACCTCAAGCTTTTAAAAGCAATATGAATACATTTCTTTACAAATGATTTTTCTATTCAACTTAGAAGCAGAAAATGTTACTGTATAGTTTGTTCTAGATTTTTTTAACTGGATTGTCTGTTAGAATAAATATTTTAAAGTATGTAACGAGAGAACTCAAAACATACTGGACTAATTAAAAAAATGTAATAAAAAGGTGCATAATCATTAAGTACAATAAGTTGTATTGGTTCCTAATTTTGAAAAGCATTGTTATCCACTCTAAAACACGCTTGCTTGCATAAGCTTACCTTTAGCACATTTATCGAAGTCATTTGATACTGGCATAGTCGGGTCGCAGCGACAGTTCTCCCCATCGCAGATGGAATGCTGGAAACCGCACTCGTCCACAGAAGTGCATGAGTCCCCGTACATCTTCGTGCCGCGTTTTGTAGGATCTAAAAGTTCAAAAATAATAAAAGTGGAGGTTTTAATCTATACTAGTATTATAAAGAAGAAATATTTGTAAACTTGGTTTTTTCTTTATATTGAAATAACTCAAAAACTATTGAGTCGATTTCAAAAATTCTTTCACCATTAAAAAGCTACGTTATCGCTGAGCAACGTAAGCTTTTTAAATTTCACGTGTACGATGTCGCGTGTAACAGCTAGTGGGTATAAAAATTCAGTATAAGACTAGGGTACTGACCATTCTTTACAATTTTTTCACTTTATTGTAAAGAATTCATCAGTATCGGTTTACATAAATATAAGTTTGCAAAAAATAAGCCTTCATTGGACAGAGGAGAGAATGATCAAAACAGAAGAAAGGAAATTCCCCTGTTAGACTGTTGGCGCTCGTTATTGTATTTGGTAT